CCTCGGTCAGGGTCAGGGCCCGCAGCGCCCCCTCACCGCCCCTGGGGAACCTGCCCGCGCCAGCCCACCTGACGAAGGTGGAGGTGAGGTTGAGGTCACCGTCGGCGGTGAGGGACAGCTCGGACCGGCACATGGACAGCACCGCCTTCTTCTCTCGGAACCACGAGGAATTCGAAGCCAGGCCCGCGCTGAACCAGCGGCCCAGGAACTGCGTGGATGAATGGCGCACCCAGTGGGGCCCCGCCCTTGATGGACCAGCGCCCCACTGGGTGCCCTCCACGCGCCCGGATCAGCCTCTCCTCCCCCCATGCTGTAGCTGAGCCCCGGGATCTCCGTGCCTGTGTCTGTCCGGCCTCGCACGGAGGGCTTGTATCACGCATGACCAGAGTGTATGCACACCTGGGTGCTCATACATGGACAGGTGTTTCTCAACCCGTGAGGGGACATGGGGCTCAGCCCTCCCAGTTGGTGAAGTGCAGTGGCCCTGTGAAGGGACTCTCCCGGTCACCCTGGGACAGGTACCAGACCTGTCCCGGCAGCCCCACTCAGCCATCGCCCCTGTCCAGGAAGACCGTCGACTAGCGAAGCCCTTCTGCTGGGCCTGGGCAGCAAACCCTCACCTTGTCCTGTTGGAAGTTGGGCTGCAGAGAGAGCTGGGCCTGGCCGGGGGTCTGCAGGACCCCCAAAGCCCCTAGCAGGACCAGCCCCATCCACAGTGGGCGTCCCACAGCCATTCTCTGGAGCAGGTGCTGGGGTCTGGAGCCAGCTGTGTGGGCAGCAAGTGGAACAGGCGGAGTGCAGCAGGGCTCGTGAGAAACCGATTTATGAGCCCTGCACGGCCAAGGACAGCCCCTGGAAGCTCGTGATGCTGAGGGGGAGGGCCGCCTGGCCCAGCTGCAGCCTCATCCCCCACAGCTGCTTATGCAACAGGAGAGGGGGTGGGGTGGTCGAGACCGAGCTGGACCCTCCCCACTCCTGCCTCCTCAAGCTGCCCCAAGCTTCCTACCTGGGGCAGGGACCCTCATTGGCCCCCAATCCCCTCGTCCCCCATCACACCTCCTCTGAGACCACTGACCTCAGGGAGACACAGCCCTGTGTGTGCCCCAGAGCACGTCCTGAGGGGTCAGCAGGCCCAGGTGCAGGAGAGGCCCAGCCAAGGTAAAGAAACCCGACCTGTGGACCGCGTGGAGAGTAGGGGTGCAGCCTGAGGGAGCTGTGGGACTCCCCAGGGGAGAGGTCCCTGCCCCATCCACTCTGCATCAGCTGCATTTTGCTGGCCCTGCCCAAAGGCAGCCCAGGCTTCCAGAGCTCCGCAGCAGCAGGGCGAGCCTGGGTCTCCCCTGCGCCTGGGGGGCTGAGCCGCACCGCTCACAACTTGCAGACTTCCCTTCTCCCCGCAGTCCCCCTCCCTCCAGAAGCCCCCTGCTTTGACTGGCTGCTCCCAAGGGCCTGGCCCTCCCCAGGGAGGTCTCAGCCCCCAGCCCAGCCTGAGAAGGTGAGCTCTGATCCAGGGGTGACTGGGGCAGATGTGACCTAGGTAGGAAGAGGAGGCCTGGGCACAGTTCCTGGCTGGGGTGGACAAAGCTCCCAGCCCCGGGCCCTGGGCCCCTCCGGGCAGTGGGCTCAGCTCTGCCTCAGGGATTGGAGGCTGGGTCCCCAGCAGGGAGATCCCCTCCCCTTGACTGCAGTAATCAGAGATGACCACCAGGAGAGTGTGGGCTCGTGGGCAGCACCCTTATGGAGGCAACATGAACCTTGGGAGGTGGGCACCCTGCTCCTCCTGCCCCTCCATCTCCCCAGCACTGGTTGGGCTTCCACTGAGGAGACTAGTGTAGGCAGCAGGGCAGGGGTGTGGGGGAGGGGGGACCGCTGGTCCTTAGTTGGACTGGGTGCCCTCATAGGCAGGGGGGGCGGGCCCAGGGTGGGTGCTGGGAGAGGTATGATTGAAGCAGGACAGAGGACATTTCCGTGCAGGAGGAACGGAAGTGGTCAGCTTGGAGGAGTGCTGGATGTGTCAGGGAGGGAGCCACTCTGTGGGGCCAGTCTGTTGCCCCCATACCTCCATGGAGACCCGTGGGCCAGGGGAGTGACTGTCCTCAGCCCCTCCCCTCCCTGGGGGCCCAGTATGAGGGCTGGGGGGGAGGGCAGGTGGCTACCCTCTTGAGCAGAGGACCAGCGAGAGGAGGTCCCTGAGGGGTGTTCTAGGTGAATAGTGTGCTCCTCAAAATGTGAAAAAATTTTAGGGTAGTTATGTGTCCAATAAGGAAGGGCCTAATAGCCAAAACAGGTATAAAAACTCCTACAGTTTCACAAGGAAAAGAAGAAAAAAATCCAGTCGAGACTGTGGAGAGAACCTGAAAAGACCAAGAGCACATCCAAGCAACCGGGAGACACGATGACGTCATAGAGCCGCTCAGAAAGGTCAAAGGGCAGATGGAGACAACGAGCCAAACATAACGAAATGTGCGAAGCCACGAATGAAGAACAGGTTCGGCAGATCCTCAACTGAACGAACTAGGGGGAAAATTCAAGCCTCAAGCTGCAATATGGAAAGATCCAATGAGCAAAACATGGAATGAAGCAGGAAGCATCCAGAGATAAGAATACAGAGTCACTGTATCAAAAAGAACCCAGTCAACATTCCACCATGTGAGCAAGACCCAAAGCTGCACTGAAGGCATTCGCCAGAACCAAGGCTCCAGGAAAGGATAGAACAGCAGTGGAAATGCTCCCCCCTCCGCTGAAGCGCTGGGAGAACTCGCTGGTCTGCCAGGAAGTGTGGAAGACAGCTGCTTGGCCCACTGGCTGGAAGAGATCTGTGCTGGTACCCACTCCAAAGAAAGGTGCCTGTGTCAGTCTGGGAACCTTAGAGAAGCAAATCCACAGAAACACATGTATAAGAGAGAGTTTTATTTAAAGGTTAAGTGAGCATCAAGAAAACATCCCAACCCAGTGCTGCCCAAGCCCACAAGTCCAACATTAACCCACTGACCCATATGTCCAACACCAGTCCACAAAGTGGGTCCACTGACCCATCTCACAAAACTCACGCAATGACACCGACTGCAGGAGGAAAGCAGAATCGGTGAACGTGTAAGCATCTCACTGCTGGCAGGGGTCTCCACACGGCTCCTCCAGCACCCAGGGCTGCATTGGGGTGGGTCCATGTGGCTTCTCCTTGGGGATGTCTTGCAGGAAGTGAACCTTGCAAGCTGAAGCAGGGAACTGCTAAGGCAGCTGCACCCTGGTCCGACCATCACAAAGCAAGAGACCCGAGAACTCAAAAGGCGAGGCTCACTGAGCCATTCATCCCTCCGCCTTTCAATGAACCCCACATGCGTTTATCGGCCAGGTTGGCACAATTAACTAACGACCTCAGTGACCCAAGAGAATGCTCAAATTATAGAACAGTGTCATTGATGTCAGTGAAATTTTGCTGAAGGTCATCCTACACGGTTGTGGCAGTGCACAGACAGGGAGCTGCCAGCTGTCAGGCCGGATTCAGAAGAGGACGTGGAACAAGGGTTATCATTGCCGATGTAGGATGGATCTTGGTGAATGCCGAGAACATCAGAAGGATCGTTGTGTGTGTTTCACTGACTGTGCAAAGACATTCGTCTGCGCGGACCATAACAAATTACGTAGCCTGAAGAGAGTGGCAATTCCAGAACACTCCATGGATCCAGAGGCAGTTGTTTGGACAGAAGAAGGGAATACTGCGTGGTTTAAAATCAGGAAAGCGGTGTGCTAGGGTTGTATGCCTAGCAACTATCACAGAATCTGGATTATAGAAGAGTGTGGCATCAGGACGGGAGGAAGGCTTGTTAGCAGCCTGCGGTGTGCAGACGGCACACCCTGCTTGCTGGCAGAGGAGGCTTGAAGCACTGACGATGGAGAACAAGGAGGATTACAACTCAGTGTAAAAAGCCAAACTCCCCACAGATGGACCGCTTGACGACATCCTGATCAATGGAGAGAAGGTTGATGTTGTCAAGGATTTCCACAACCAGTGCCCACGAAGCAGCAGTCTACATCTGCCACACAAGACCTCTTTAAAGTGTTGAAAAGCAAGGATGTTACCTGTAAGGCTAAGGTGTGCACGACCCAAGCCATCATCACCTCTTTTGTACGTGACAGTTGGGCTTAGAGTGAGGAGGACCGAGGAATATCGCAGCATTTGAACTGCGGGGCTGGCGGAGGATATCGAAACCTCCATGGACCGCGCAAGAACGGATTGTCTGTCTTGGAAGAAGGAACGCGGAATGCCCCTGAGAGGTGAGGGTGCGAGACGCTTGGACACGTGGTCAGAAGAGACCTGTCCCTGGAGAAGGGTGCCATGCTTCCTAAAGCAGAAGGAGAGAGAAGGGCGGCCGCAGCGTGGCTCAAACAGGAACAATGGTGAGGGCGCCAGGACTGGGCGGGTTTCCTTCCGTTGTCCATCGGTCCCTCTGGGTCAGAACCGAGGGGACAGCACTGATGACAGCAACACAAACGAACTTGAAGAGCCTTCGAAGACCACCCCCTTCTCGCCCGTTGATCATGGAAAGGAGACCGACTGCATTGACCAGTTAAATCCACGGCAGCCTCCCTTGCTTCTTAGGGAGGAACTGCGTGGCGGGGACCAACCCCCACCCACGGGGACCTGAACTGCAGTCAACTCGTGGTGGACATCGACGTCGTGTTTTTTATCTTCTCATTCCACCTTCCCACACACTTTGTTGAAGCCCCCTCCCAGTCACCACGAAGGGTCCCCCATGGGGCAATGGGCTTCGAGCCACAAGGTTGGCAGTACGAAACTACCAGCCTCTCTGTGGGAGAAAGATGAGGCTGTGGACCCCCGTGCAGACCGACGGCCTCGGAAACCGGCAGGGCCAGCTCTGTGCTGTTCTGTAGGCCCGCCTCGAGTCAGGATGGATCCGTGATGGTGGACGTGGCCATATTGGCAATAGGTGGGAACGGCCTGACTGTCCAAACCCGGTGAAAGGTTTCCTCGGGGAACACTACTCAGCTCTCAGGAGACCAGGACGCCAACCCTGCTCACGGCGGAGGGCAGGCCTTGACAGCCTTCAGTGGAGAGGCTGGCGTCAGTGCCTGGTGTGGAAGGACAGGCACTGTCCAGCATGGCTTGTGGGAAACAACAAGAGGCACCCGTGTGGGAGGGGCTGCGGGTCAGATGTTCAGGAAGCAGCGAGCTTCTCTTCACGATGTCCCTGGACGTGGAGCTGCTGTGGCTGGAGCCGGCTGGACAGCAGCGAGCACAGCAGGTGGCCTCAGGGAGAGGTGGCCTCAAAGCTCCAGTCCCGTGGCTGAAGAGGGTGTTCGAGTATGTTCACCAGGTCCCGGTGCAGGGCTCCTGGCCCCACCCCTACTGCGAGGCCTGAGGGGCAAGCACACAGTGCGAAAGGCACGCTGGGTGTCCAGCTGCAGCTGCGAGACAGATGGACACCAACTGCCCCGAAGCCAGGCTCTCAGAGGAGGTGTGGCCCTCCTGTAGCAGCAAGGAGACGAGGACACCCTCCAGGAGAAGGGAGAGACCCCCACTCCTGCATGGCCCCCAGCCCCCTGAAGAACCCCCACCCGCTCTCCGGAGCCCCCTGCCCCCGCTATTGTCCTGGTTCTTCAGCCTTGAGGACCCTGTGGCCCCAAGGCAAGGGCACCGCAGGAATGAGCTGTGCCAAAGCCCTGGGATAAGGTGGGGGGCCCAAGACAAAGGGGTCTGAGAGTGTGGGCGAGGAGATCAGGACATGTAGGCCCAGAGTGGGTGTGGGGGAGGCCCAGGGCAGGAGCATGAAGGACAGGGGGAG